CTTCATTATTCTTGACTGGTTTACAGAGCAGGCTCTTAGTATGGTAACCTGTTTGCTTATCAACATCTTGATTAAACCTAGGATCCTGCAAGAACACACATAGAAATATTATTAATTCATCAAGATAGCTGTACAAAATAACAAACTTGTTTTGTTCAATGGAGCTAGGATGTTATGTGTTAACCAGTTCTTATATTATTAATTCCATAACCATGTAATTATCATAAATTTAAAAAAAATGGCTTTCACTTTCTCAGTAGCTATAAAKCATTGCATCACTGAATATACTAATRTATACAGAAATTATCAAAACTTTTGGGTTTTTTTCTCTAGATGCCTTTATTAGCTTGTTGATATTTGATGAATCGCAATCACTATAGCTACTGTAAATTGCAATTCAAAAACAGTGAACTACACTTCAAAATGATATATCTGATGGCATACCAGGATCTGTAACTACTGAACTAGTAGTTGATTTTTCCTTACTACACAGAAAAGCTAATATATATTAAGCAGGCACATATTACAAAAGCATAGCAGAATCACTAAGTCTAAATCTACATTGAAAACCTAATCCTTGCTTAATCCAACAACAAACAAATGTAAAGTTTAATTTTGTTTTAAAGCTTATGCTATCCAAAATGAAAATACAKGGTCATAATGCGATCATCCACAGTCAGACATGATAAATGGTCGCATTCCTTTTTTAATGCAAGTCAGATATCAAAATTATAATGAACTTAAAATGAATCTGTATGACAAAAAAATTTGTGTTTACAAAAACATTTTAGGTGTAAAAATTGGAAGTAAAATAATTTTTATGCCAAGAAAATTGCCTGATTCAGAATAACTGTACATATTATATATACAACTGGAAGTACTGTGACTCAATAAGAAAGAAAAAGGTGTATTAATGTAATTTATATGAGATATGATCAAATAGTGCTGTGSTTTAAAGTATCCAGTGTTATTAGAACTCTGTTATCAATGTGTGTTAGACCAAACAAGTATGCATACCTAATCTTRTTAGGAAACCACTAATTCTAGGTATCATAACTGTCAATAAACTTGACTAAACTAACAAGAGCAAAATGGATGTGAAGATATGAATCTAGACATAATATACTGATGTGTGCTGAATCAAAGTTATCAATTTTTTAGCGTGAGAAAATGCTTTTATGTGGTATAGCATGGCTCTTTAGCTCTCAAAGAAAAGGTGAACTATAGAATCAAGGCTACAACAACTACATTTACTTACACTGTATGCATTATGGATATAAAGGAATAAGGTACTTTTTTAGAGACCAAATTTATAACATAATTACAAATTCAATCTTATCTATGAGTTTTGTTTGATTTTTGATTTTTTTGTTTTTATTTTATAAATATGTCAAGAATGTTCAAATCTTTATCAAAAAATGTTACAAATTTTCAGTAAGATGTTCCAAGCAAAAAAAAAAATATATCTATATGAACTGTTCACATCTAATTTATATGTTTTGCAATGCTCACATGTTTTGCAGTGTGTTTTTAAATGAAAGAAATTGAAAGATTCCCGTTATGATCAAACCAAGTTATATTGGTTGAAAATAGCTTCTAAAAGCACTTCAGTMAACTTGGCTTTGGTCGGTAAGCTTAAATTGTTTCGCTTATAAAGGGCGCATTTAGAGAGAAGTCAGAATGTACAATAACTAAAGCGGCACATAAGAAATATCAATCGACGGAATTATTACTTTCTCGAGGTTATACAGTAATAAAAGAAGCGAGAGAAATGAATCTATCGATTGAAAAAGATACCATCAAAACAGAACAAATCAGAACTCCAATAATAATCCTCGGCAATATGTAAATGTCAGGGATTACATCAATAATTTACTAGCAATAATGAGAAATGTATTGCTCGGCCACCGAACCTCGTATACTATATCTCGTCAATTTAATATACTTCTAACACAGACATCTACTATGGACTACAACGAAATATTCCTAATTTACATGGATATTTTCTGAACTGTCACAATCTTAAAAACATAAAAAATATGGCACGAATTGTAAATCATGTATATTTCGAAAAGGGAATCACACAAGATGTTAGTCACTAACACGCCATGGAAAATTTTAATGTGTGACTTAGCCGACCAAGTTGTTTATTTACATTCGCATTATGAGAATTGCTATTYTGGTTTTCTAACAAACAGAGTAAAGGAAAATGTCAAATCAAGTTGACCCTTAACGTAAGCATCTAGGGCATCTATCAGCTGATGCCCATTTGGCGAAAAACAGTTCTCTTCGTGCCGCACTTCGCTGAAAATAGACATAGCTTGWAAGCTTCGCGTAMAATGTAAATAACATACCCATTACACATTCTAACTACACATTAATATTCTAGAGCAGCGTCTTCAAAATATATCCCACGATAAAATTACAGGTTGCTATGTTGTTATTCGAAATTTTCCACCTTTTTGAGGAGTTCAAAAAACGGGATTTTCAAAACCTTGCCAAGTGATGCGTGCAAATTAATCTGAATTCCTTGTTGTGTACAAAATCCCTGTCCCAAAAAGAAATTTCTCTCAGTAGGGATCACTCAAAAAAGTTATTCTATCTATGCACGAAAGCACACTTACAGCTCCGAGTGCTGAAACATTTCAATGTGTAATGTTAMAAAAGCAATGCATAGCAAATCACCAAATCACGCCCTAGTTTGAAAGCCATTTCTTGGGTCAATGGAAAACTGTACTATATAAGTGTGGTTGAACTGCCAAAAGATCCTAATTCTTTTATTTATACTACAAACCGCATATGCATCGGGAATGTTGACCGTCTCGCCTGTAGCTGCTGCATAACCAACCAAKCCAACTCCAAACGGTACTCTAATCTCTCGCTGGTGGTCGATTGCCTCCTTGGGTGCTGGAGTATTCGTTGATCCAACTTGAACATCAAACACTTTCGATACAAGCCACTGTTTTCCCTTTGGTCCTTCCACTAAGAACAACGAACAGCGATCTGCATTGGTTAGAATACCTACATTGACTAGTATTTTATAGCTCAGGGTTTTCAGATCAAGATCGTTAGCAATATCTCGCACGATTTCAAAGAAAAATTCCCGTTCATTATTGTTCTTCAAGTCAAGTTTGGACTCCTTGTTTAAGCTCTTGGAGGACGGAAGACGCACTTTCGACTCGATCAATGGCCCGAGTACATGTTGCTGTCCACAATTAGGCAGCGACTTGGTTTTGCGTAATTGTCGTGGGGGGCTTTTCAAAAGCTTTATTTTATCTTCTTTAAACTCACTGAGTGTACTCAAATTCAAGTCTAAAGACTGGAAGAAAGTTGAAGCAATAGATTTACTATATAAAAGTTGTCTTTTTCGCTCGTCAGCGGAGAACTGGCGTTGAGTTGTCGGCTGACGATGAGGCTCTGATAGTCGACGATGTTGCCTCGCTTCTCCACGTTCCTCCTCACATTCGTTAGAATTTAAAATCTCCACAGAATTATTAAAATGACATTGTTTAGCCTTCAAAGCACTTTCCTTATCACTAATAATCGATGAAATTGTTGATTCATCTATGTTGGATTTGTCTTTTTCATGTCTAACTCGACTCGCTTCTTGCCAGAGTTTGACCATTCGAACAGAAGCTTTTCTAACGAAGTAATCTTCAGCGAGATCATAATGATCATCCAACCACTGTTCAACTTGTTTAAATGTCAAAGTCATGGCGTTCCCATGCTTAATACACAGACGATGTGAGTTTCCCTCAACATCGCTCATGAAAGCATTCAAATATGATCTGGATTTCCCCTTGTACTTGGCTCGCTAACTTCTCCAGCAACAATCAGTCGATCGCGCATGTATGTCCAATGTAAACAAATAAACGCTGCGAAATATCGCACACCAAGGTATCGCTGTAATAATTCTTGGACTGCCTCTTTGGAGCGCCAGTAACCGTAGATGATCTAAAATCTTTTAGGAGCAGATTTATAGGTGTCTACCTTTCYTAAAATCAATGAAATATGGTCTTGACCTAGACTGGGTAAGTGCGATTACAAATGCTCCGAATAGCTTGTTGGCTTGGAACCTCTTGGCTTGTCCATATGGAAGAGTCTTGTTTGCTTGTTTAGCTATCTTCCCCAGAGGTTTCAAAAAGCAAAGTTGAATATTTTCAAAGCAATAATAATTTGTATTTACAACTGTAATGTGCTACCTGGGTCCTGTGTAATAATAACAAGCCGTCAATCCATAAAACCTTTCAGTTTTCTTCGTTAGTCACGTGCACGAGTCAACCAATTGAATTCGATGTTTTCATTGTATGACCCAGCCTTTTGACCGTGAATAAATCAGTTATCGCCGCTTAGGGASCCCATGGAATCGATAGCTCTGCAGTCATTTACACAGCAATCTAATCAACGATGCAAATAGCCTGCGTAGAGTGAACCGAGTATGATACAAATTTTGGTTAAACAAATAAAGCTGCATTTTGGAAAAAATCATTTCCTCAACTTTTTTTATTTTCCTCCCTTCTTTCTTCCGTTTTATCTCTGGGAAATTTTTCGCAGTTTGTTTTCGTAGTTAATGAGATTAGAATAAATGCGTTGGTTCCACGTTTTGGCATTGTCCGATTCCAAGTGATTAAATGATGTTATGAGGTTGGAACGAGTCATGTTTTGGCTGTCTTTCCGCTGAGTTTAACTATTCCTTTTCACTTTATTCTTTTCTTCATTTTCTTTATTTCAAAAAAAAAGGCAAAAAAAAAAAAAAAAAAAAAAAAAAAAAAAAAAAAAAAAAAAAAAAAAAAAAAAAAACAACAAAAAAACAACAACAAAAAAACAACAAAAAAACAACAACAACAACAAAAAAACGACAACCGAAAACAAGAAGCAGAGACTCCTGGGGTTCATTGAAAGCAAACAGCAAATACAAAATAAGATTCAGCATACGCACTTGAACAAGGTAGACGAAGCATATATAAGCACTGACGAGCAACAGAAGCAACGCTAGAAATGTGGGCAACACCAACAGTCGTAGTTTCCCCGTCCTAAACAATAATGCAGTTGCAAGATCAGACAGAAATAGCAATCAGCAGCAGTGCAGCAATTGTATTAATTTGCGCAGTTGCGCGGTAGCCCGGACTGGCACAACATTTAGCAATATATTAGCATCAGCAGAGGAGCTGTAGTACTGAAGCTGTAGCGTGCATTAACACGTTAATGACTCGTATTATTGAAATTTCACGGGCCGCGGGACTTTGAACAAAACCTATGGCACTGTAACTACAGTAATGCACCAGTTAGGAGGAGCCGGCAGGTACCTGGGAAAAATATAACTGTTCTTATGTCCCAGCCAGCTGTAAGCACAACTGGTTGCCAGCGAGAAATTCAGGAAAAAAAGAACTCTCCAGGCAAGGAATACTTTCTAAGAATTTTTTCCAGGAAAATCAAAATTCTAACTAAAAACAATAAAAGCCGTTTTCAAACCATAAAAACGTTATATAAGCCTTTTTAGAATTTAAAAACTTTTGCCAGAAACAAAATTATTTTAAAGAAAGAAGGACGCCACATTTGCTTGTGAGATTGTCAACAATGTAGCTCAAAATCATTTTCCCAGGAAAAAAAATCGTACAAGAACAGTTATTTAGAAGAACAGACCCCGTCGGCATCGGCTCCTCCTGACCAGTCAATTGAAACCCCGCCCTCCGATCCCCGGGGCTAGTGGGGGCACTGAACGGGGACGTGACGCGTTTTTAACGTGCTTTTAACAGCAAGATTGCCCCGGGGGTCGGGATTTTGATGAATTGTTTTCGAAGTGGTGCAAAGAGCGGGGATTTAACGCGCCCTTTGAACATGTATGAGGCTGGAAACTAGAGGTAATGCCCTGAAAGCAATTGAATTCAACTCTGTTTTCTCTGTTTTCTCCGTCMAGTTAGCCTCATGTAGTACGCAAATGAGTACACAGGATTGTGCAAAAATTAACCCTGTGTATCACAGAAAATTTGATTGAAAAGTGTTTGTTTTGTTATTTATTACTAAWCCAAATTAGCGGGGCAACAGTACTAAAATAGCGGGAGTTTTAACAGTTAATGTCCCTCCAACTACTGGGGAATGCGGTTGACGTACCACAACAGCAGCGAAGCTAACAGAGGATTTAGGAAGCAGCATGATGATGATATATGTACCCTGTGGCAGGCTGATGATGCTGATAATAGTGGCATCGATGATGATTGAGATGTGACATAAAGTACTCAAAAACAAACAAACAAAAAAAAATGAAAATTATTTGCATAATATAAACGTATTAGAACTGAGAAACATYTGCGGTTTGGATTTGTATTGATTGGGTCGCCTGTGGTATCGTACCATCAGGTCATCATCTGGTCTTTGTAGTGATAAGCATAACCGCTGACCAGCAAYATGGCAATCTGAATTCTCTTTCTCATGTTGTTGAACCACATCCCCTTTGTTGTCTTCTCTTGAGCTTCATCTTCAGTGCATTGGCATATTAGATGATCTTTGTCATTCACAAGGGCGTGGAGGTCAACCTGCTTATGTTAACTTTCTGCTTTTGAGTGAAGTACACTGTGTATTGGAATACATCGACACTGGGCTGGACAAGCGGAAGACTTTACTCGTCATGACCTTTGTGTGTTATTGCAATTAAATAAAGCCAATTGCTCTTGATATAATTGAAAATCTAGCTCAAGGAGCTTATACAGAAGTATTTGAACTACGACAAGCGACCAGCATGGCAGAAGGTAATGTCTTTTCAGTTGCAATGTTTGCTAAAGTGTTCAAGTCGTGTTGCCARTATTTGTCAAAGGAACACATTCCATGCTTCTGTATTTGATTAGAAAATCTTTCGTTACAGTTGAAGGACGTGTGTATGATACCATAGAGGAAGAAGAACAGCCGGTGTGGAAGTCGTATTGTAAGTAGAAGCAAACTTTTCATCGATAAAGATAAACGTTTTATAACATACGATTCACTTAAAACGTGGAAGTTAAATTTTAGCCAAGTCACTTGACATTTGAAATGTTTATTTCWTTGTTACAGTGTACCAACTTCAACAAAAAGCGCCAAGACCTATTCGCATTATATGTAATAACAATGTAGGTATAATATTAGTTTTATATCTTAAGATTTGACAGTGTGAWCTGGATAATTGAGTCCCACCTGTTTTCATTGTTTGTATCCCTTTCAGTATTTCGTACCATTTATGGACACGATTCTGAAACATCAAATTTAATTAGTTTATTACAATCTTAAGTTTTTATGTGTGAAGCATGCATTGTTAATGATTATCTTCCTCTAAACATCCTTATGATGKGAGTAATATTCTTATCATTCAGAATCTTTGTTTGAGATTTTTGTTACATGAGGCACTATAATTTTAATTTTATGTAATTAGATTCTTCAGATTTTTTTAGTGCAATTATTAAACTCTCAAGGATTGAAACACGAGGAAATAGGCACTAATATTCATTCATACCAAACTGGTTTTTGAAAAATATTTCCAGTGCTTTGGTCGATGAGGGTATGCAATTGAAATTCAGAGGCCATGTGCTAAGGTGTTGAATTTTAATGTAATTCAGAGCTTAAAGTTTAATATATTTAAAAACAACCACACCCTATTCAGACAGCATGAAGAGGGCTGGTCATAGAGCCCCTGCATGTTTCCAAACTCTTACTGTCTTATTGAGCATATATATTCAGTTCCCAGATATTATACTTGTGACATTGAGAAAAAAATCCTTAAGAGGGAATTATGATCATCGACAAGTTTTATTTAATCATTCATGGCTGTGGATTACTTTGTAGTATACTCTATCAAGGAAATGGTTTTGATGCAAAGGATTGATGATCAAAGCTCTCTTTATCAGCATTAATAATGCATTATTTAGTATCATTCAACTTTCAATGCATTCTGCAGTTTTTTTGCATTAAATTTCAAAAATCTGAATGTTAACCAAAGCTCTCTTATCATCTCACTTGAATAAACCTTAAGATCAAGTTRGCTAAAAATAATATGCCATAGTAGGCCCGTCTTGGAATTAAAAAACAGGGATGAGTAGTGGCTTGTTAAATTTAGTTTTCTCAAGAMTGTTTGCATATATTACGTTGATGGTAGCAAACCATCATCTCTCCATGATTTAATGTTTCCTGCTAAGARGAGAAAGTCATGTGTGATACAATACAATAAAACAACTGAAACAACAGGTTTGTGTATTTTTCACAACAAGTCAGTAAGCAATATCTATTGGTTTTTAAACAGATTGCTGTCAAACCTCTTCATTATGGGAAGGAGTAAGTATGATCTAATTTAAAAGTGTTTTTGTTGCATTATAATGAATGAATAACAGCAATGTAACTAAAAACGTATAGCATTAAAGTGCACATAAACCTAAACTTTATACMAAAAAAGATCAAAGTGTTTTAAATGAATATAAAATGTTGATATATACATTTCTATAATATAAATCAATAGGCTTTTAAATAGTGATATCTAGTACTTGAACAATGATTATTAAATATGTTTTTATTGATTAAAGTATCCTGAGATTATTGTTCTTCTGATTAAACAGGTTTCATGGATCTATATCTCGTGAGGAAGCTGATGAGCTGGTAAATTCCCAGGACGGATGCTACCTCGTGAGGGAGAGTCAGCGYCAGCCTGGAAGTTATACATTAACAATGAGGTATTCATTGAATAACAAAGCTTTCATAGTATTTAAAATGTATAAAGCATGATACATCTAAAGTACTTGCTTCAGATATACATTTGATATTCAGAGAAACATACTTCCAGGCATACTACAAAAACTGAAATAAAGGTTTTAAAAGAACAGAATTATCTGTAGTCTGTGTATACATTTGTTCTCCACCCAACCCCCCTGCAGGGAAAAATTTGGGAGAAATGTTTCTGATTGAAAACAGATGTACACAAGATCGTCTTGCAATGTTGATAGATTGGAATATGGTTTAATGTTTCAGCATATTTCCAGTTGTATTAGTGTATTCAGCTAACACTCTTCAAAGTTACATGTAGTCTGAGATGCTTGCATTTGTTATTCTGTAGGTTTGGAGGTGTTTCCAAGAACTTTAGACTATACTATGATGGATTGCATTATGTCGGTCAGTACACCTTGTTGAAACAATTTTTTCTTTTAAAGGTGTTTTTTTTTTGCATACTAAATATTACATTCAAATCTTGACTTCTTTTGATCTTTTGCATCACAGAGGCTTGCTCTTATACAGTGATCCCAATTCAAGGCTAAAAGTCTAAATCCCTAAGCCACCAAAACAATCCTGAATTCCATGGTTTGTTTGTTTTTGTCAGGTGAAAAACGTTTTCAAACAATGGAGGATCTTGTTGCMGATGGCCTCATTACAATGTACATGGATACATACGCTAAGGACTACATTGATACAATGATGGTTGATCAAGTTATGGATGAACATAAACAATCTAAACAGCAAGCAAAACCTGACAATGGACAGTCTAAACAAGACCAGAGTGATGGCACCAAGCAAGAGGTAATRATTTTGTAATCAGGTTATACCCTTACATGACAAATACRATTCCTKGTGTTCAWAAAAAGCTACTGAAACATGTGACAGGCTACTATGCAATTATTCTTTCTGTTATATRTTAAGGACCGATTGGGTTACCTGTGTAACTCTTTCAGGCTCCCTTTGTAGCTGCCATCTTGGCATCTTCTAGTATAGTAGTTTCATGATCAGTCATGCATATTGTTTTTGAAATATTACTTCAAAGACATCAAGACTACGTAGATTTTTATGGACTAACAGGTGGATACGGAGAAGTACTAAGCTGTGCGTTTATTGACAGACGCACAATCATGCTAGCAATCAACTGATGAAAAAATATATGCAACAACCTGTGACCCCTTTGACAGACAACTAAACAACAATAAATGTAAACAATATGATTTATCAATTGACTTGATAATAATATAAAAGATACTTAAACATGACAAAACATAAAAACTTTCTTTCAACAAATTAAACCATATTCCATATATTTTTTTGAGTTTGTTGCTTCCTTTACCRCTTGAACCAATCTTTCCTTTCAGCCTCCTAAAACTGAATCAGTTAACACTGATATTACTAAAGACATTAAACCCTCTATTCCTTCACAAGAAATACTAAAAGAGGTAATTGTATTAATTAATGTAGTTCAATAAATATAAAATGCCAACACGGCAACGTTGGTGCAGTTTGCTCTGGGCGTAATAAGATAGGTGATGGTACTTTGTTGACCTTTTCTATGTTTTACTTATCTTTGAAGAACTYGAGTGAAAAAATATCAAAAGAAAAAAATATTTAAAGCGAAAGTAACATTTATTGAGTCTAACGTCATAATAGAACGGCATAAAAACTGAAATGAGAAAAGTAAGATGTTTCATTGTCGGGCCTCCTGTGGGAAAGGCACAGGAAGCCCAACAGTAAAGACTTCGGACGCTAAACATAAACGCTAAAATAAAAGTCGTATTTGGTGGCTGCATCCACCATTCAAAACTCCAATTATCACTAAAATAAATAAACGACCAATAATGTTAAAGTATGGGCGACGCAGTTCGTAGACTTCTCGAGTAGTCGTTACCGTTTCTTTGTAAACGTCGGTAAACGTTAAACCACTAATAGACCTATAGCCAATGTTTTGACCAACGATAACCAAATAAAAAAATATTCAAAATTGGATGATACCTTTATAGAAGTCGTTAAAAAAATCTTTCAGTACAGCATTATTGTACGTATTAGGTGTTACTTTTTACAATCCCAGTCACTGCCAACCAGTAGTCGGTTTCTTTGTCTGTTCAAAACCAAACTGCCCTTCGTGGTTTACATGGTTTTCACTTTAAGTATCCCTCGACATCAGAAACGTTTTTATAAGAACCTATTCTTCGTCTCCGTGAAAACTATGAAGTTTCTTCTGTATTAGACTCAGTTGTCCTGACCAGAAAGCCAAAATGAGAATTTTATAAGTTTCAGTAAGGAATCTTCATTTCACCACATTGTGGTGTCTTTTACAGCCTCTGATTTCCACCCGGATCATCGCTTACGTAAAACAAATGATTTATTTATGATATTAATGTATTTGACGCCAACCTTCGGCACCAAACTATCAGTGCTAAGAGACATACTAGGTTATTATTGGAAGAACACGGCATTTCTTCCCGTATTGTGCGATTTGAGTGATTCATTCTGGCAGTGCTTTTCGTGGTCATGTTTGTTGTAGAATATGCGAAATCGTGGTTTGTTGAGCTGGTAAGCTTTCATTGATTCAACCGGAAACATGAGTTTCTGCCYTGAACCTAGTCGCATTTTTTAGATGATAGTGTAAGATGAATATCGAAAAAATGGTTAAAAAAGTAAAACGGAATTTGTGTAGTAACAATGATACATYTTTTTCAGTGATGTCCAACTTGGGATGGCTGATTTGAGACCAATAGAAATTTGTTAAACTRTTGAATGTTGTTTTTATGAAAACCCTTTCAAGTCAACAGTTATGCTAAAATTATTTCTATGTCATTATTATGGGAATAAGAATTTTTTAAACTGTTATCTTCATAAAAGGAAGTTTCAGTCATATTCTGTGGTTTGTATCGTCATACGCAAAATAACCCTTCCGAGGTATCATGTGGGTTTCGTTGAAACTTAAAAATTCCTGAAAATGCTTACATTTATAGCTCCTGTTTTAAAATTTTAGTGACTTCTTTTTCATAATTCATATTGTATTTTGACTGGCAGTTTTGAATGGCATTATGTAAATCATTTGAAATATTATGCATGGCGAAATCTTACAACCATTTTTTTATTTCATTTTATCCTTATTGTGATTTATTCTCACTTATTTAGTTTTTTTTCTGTCTTGTTTATTTGTTTTTCTAGTGTTGTATTCCATATTTTATTTTTATTTTTCTTAACAGGATAGGCGATTTAGCGCAAGTAAGCGACCAAGTTTCAAACCATCCACTTACTCAAAAGAACATAATTTCAAGGTACGTAAAACGCATAAATCTTTGCGTTCTTCCTTAAGCATTTTGCGCTTTTATTTTCAACTTGGGCCGAAAAAAAATTAGTTTAAAACAATGGTTGTCAACCTCTAGTGCCCGTCAGATCAATCTCCTACGTTGGTGGTCTAAAGTTGTTTGTAATGAACAGTTCTACACGACAAGAATTCCTGATGCTACATTTCAGCTTTTTCCGTTTCAAAATGGCGTATCTTTCACTCTTTTTATGTCTGCTAAAATAAAGCCGAAAACGACACAAATTCTAATGTTTTTGCGGTTTCTGCAGCGAATACTCAAAATAACTTTCAGAGACTATTGTCATGGAAATATTAAGGGAAAGACTACATTTCCCATCATGCTTTGTTGTATGAAATGACGTCATCGGATTCGACCAAGCAGGCCCTGGGACCAAGAGTTTCTAATTATCAAATCGTTTCTTTTCAGGTAAATACATACAAAGGTCTTCACTGGTGTGACTACTGCAGAAACTTCTTATGGGGGCTGACACAACAAGGCTTCAAATGCCAAGGTGGATATAGATTATTTAGTTTCACATTATGTTGAGTTAGGAGGGGAACCCACTTTTAGGAGCGTCCATGTTGTGTATTGGGMTTGGTCACAGCGTTTTCATATCAGTTTTTTAGATTTTTTTCGACCAATGAGCWCTCACATTCGGCATTTCGCGCTCTTGAGAAATCCGCGGGAAACCAATATGAAATAATGAAAATGGTGGACGATAGCGAAAGCGAGATGTCTTGTCTTTCTGAAGTAAGATACKCACTAAACACTTACAAAATGTTTTGTTTTTAGACTGTGGAATGAACGTCCACAAACAGTGTATGAGAGTYGTKGGAAAAGACTGTAAACCCGACAAGAAATACGTACGAAGAGGTAATCAAAGAACAATATGTCTKCTCTCATTGCAAAGATGATTTCATTGTTGTAACAAACTGAATTGATGTGTCTGCTTTACAGTATTTGGTGTTGACCTTACAACTCTCGTGAAACTTCACGACACAAAACGACCATTTGTTGTCGATATGTGTATACAAGATGTTGAAAAAAGAGGTATGGTTGCCATTTAGTTCTGTAGGTTTTTCGTTATATTGTC